GGGGCGAAGGCGCTGGCGGCCGCCCTGGAGCGCGGCCCCTTCCCGACGCTGCAGAGGCTGGACCTCGGGTGCAACTCGATCGGGAATGCGGGGGCCAAGGCGCTGTCGGCCGCCCTGGAGCGCGGCTCCCTCCCGGCGCTGCGGACGCTGGACCTCGGGAGCAATTCGATCGGGGACGCAGGGGCGAAGGCGCTGGCGGCCGCCTCCAGGGCGCGGCCGACATGGGTCCGAACGTAAAACTTGGTTGGGAAGGTTCTGGCAGAGGTACTGATAGCCGCCCTAGATCGAGGCCTGCGAGCGCAGTGCTGTATTACATGTTGTCTTGACATGCTAGACCTATTGAGCCATTGATTAGCTTGATTCGCGATCACTCGTTGCCTTGAGTATGCATCTTGTTGGCAATTATTTCTCTTCACCTACATCTAGAGTACATGAGTCTCTGTCGTCAAATGCTGTCAAATGTTGCAATAGCTTACGAGTGATGTACTAGCTGTCCAATTGGCAAGTACAAGGTCGTGTGGCTTGAGTAGAATAATGTGCAACCTGTTGTCGCTGTCTATGTGACTCCTATTCATGCCTTCAAGTTTGGTTTGAACCTGAACTGATCACAAATTGCATGTTGAGGTTTAGATGGCATCGTCATCGGATTGTTATTATGATAATGTATTGTGAATTTGATAGCAGTACCATCTAGTCAAGCCTGACGATTACCTTCGACGTTTCGGCCAGTGCTGTTTTCTGCACCTTGTTCCATACCGCCCGGAATCGTACCGCTCATGCCATCCGGGAACCGTGGCACCTCTCAATATTTTACAGGGAAATTTTGCTTCCGAGATTTATAAGATGTATGTATATTGGAGAAACTTTTGTTCCCCCTGATCGTTTGGTGAGTGCCGCTTGAATGGCATTCGCTGCCATGTGAACTGTGCATCACTTTCCATTCCGCGTCGATGTACGGCGGAATGCGGTGCATGCGGAGCGCTAGCAAGCCTGCCGGAGTTGGTCGGGGCGCTGACCGGGCTGGCGAGCCTGGGCCTGAGCGGGTGCGAGGCGCTGCAGGGCCTGCCGTGGTCGCTCGGGCGGCTGACGGGGCTCACAAGCCTGGACCTGAGCAGGTGCGGAGCGCTGCAGAGCCTGCCGGAGTCGGTCGGGCGGCTGACGGGGCCCACGAGCCTCGACCTGGGCGAGTGCGCAGCGCTGTGGAGCCTGCCGGAGTCGGTTGGGCGGCTCGCGGGGCTGACGAGCCTGGATCTGAGCGGGTGTGGGGCGCTCCAGGGAGCGAGTCAACATTGGTGGGCCGCAGCAAAAGGCGACGAAGGGGGCAGTGCAACCTGGGCTACTGCTACGAAAAGGGCAGGGGCGTGGAGAAGGACGAGGCGCACGCCGCCGAGCTGTACACGAAGGCCGCCGACCAGGGCCACGCGAGGGGGGAGTGCAACCTGGGCGTGTGCTACGAGAACGGCACGGGCGTGGAGAAGG